ACTCACATTTTTTATAATGTACATCTTATTTTCTATAAATTGCCTTGCTTTTTTACAATATGCAAACTTTGTATTCGCTTTATATCATAAGTAGTAAATTTTTTTCTTTATACTTTAAGTACAGTGTTTTGAATTATAAGATTTCAATGAGCGCAAACAAAATCAGCGTACATCTTCGTAATAGTGTATAATTTATAGCAAAGATATTCGAGAATAATACTTGATATTTTTCATAGATAAAAAATATTTTGAAATATTCTAACAAATGTGTAAATTTGTTAATTGTGGTTTTAAAAAAATAAGGTTTCTTTTTTAAATAGATCCAATAAATTTAAATAAAAAATGATACATTATCTATGTATACTCTATTTTTATTTTACATAAAATATAGACATTCTTTCTTTTATTTAAAGACATTCTTTCTTTTAATCACAGTCTTATCAAACTCTTCAAAAGTATAGCCAGAGCTATTTACACATTTGCAAGCGATTTTGCATTATTATATATACACAGGGTGTTAGGGCAATCTCTTCCCCAAAAAAGCTTTTTTAGTTTACTTGGAAAGCTTTTCAAAATACTATAATAAAGTATTTTTTCATCGACTACTTTTCGAATTATAAGGCTTGAAATAATTTTTTCATTTTTATATAAACCATAAAATATATATATCTAGTAAAATATTTATTTTCCGATTATTTTATTTTAATACTTTTATGTATAAATTAATGAAAGGATTCAATTGGTGTAAAGAAAACACATAATTGTTTCGAAAAAAATATGTAATTGTTAATTGGAAATTACATATTTTTTCTTTAGTTTATATACACATTTATATACATTTCATAATTAAATAATCTTATAAAAAATAAGTATCATTATCCGACAACTCAAAGATTAAACTTTAACTAATTTTTAAGGAGAATAGAAACACTGCAATATAGACTAATACAAAATTATAGTGACAATCAGAAAAACTATATTACTTCATTTTTTTATGTAATCAATTATTTGTAATCAATTATTTGTAATTTTCACTATCATGCAAAATTGAACAATTATTATAATTATTGACAACTAATTAGAATTTACAACTTAGAATATTCTATATAGAAATTTTCTTCTTTGCGATGTTTTTTGAAATTTTGTATTATTTATGTTTATTAGTAAATCCACAACTTATTATATATTTTAAAATTGAGATTCAACTGATTTAATGATTATTTATTAAATAAAATTGTTTATCATTTTCTTTATTTTTTTGCCTTTTGCAATCTCGCAACACTGGATTTTTTTCATATATTTCGGAAATTTCATATTGAAAATATTTATTTATCGTTTGCTTTTTTAGTGTTATGTGTAATTGAAGAATTTTATATATTGTGCGCACACACGCGCGATATACATTTTATTACATGTATTGCAGATACTTCATGAAAGAAGATGTGATATTTCATTGAAAGAAGATGTGATATTTGTATACAAATATTTTTATTTTTTGAGTACAAATATTTTTTAAATTATTTTATATTCCTCTTTCTCTTTCTTTCTCTCTTTCATAATTTTTTTTAATACTCTTGTATCATCATCTTCTTATTTTAAATGTATTTTACTCGTAATTGATAATACGATTTATCTAGGAAATCATTTTGTAAAATATTGTCAAATAATTTTTATTATCCTCAAAAAATTACATAGCAAAAATTTTCAAATTTTTATGTAAATTAATGAAGGTTTTATATGTAAATTAATCAAGAAGTGTTTTCTTTAATCATAAAATGCATCTTCTTTTTTATTTGTTATTGCATTTCTATTCTTCTAAATATTGATGCTAACATTAATATGATAATAGGAAAATACAGTAGAGTCTCGTTTATAGCCTTAGGTTCTTCCTTATATATTTTTCTTATATATTTCCTCATATATTTTCAAAAACATTAATAATGCGTTTCTACTATGTCATAATAGACACTAAGTCACACCAAGACATCACATGATGGCATGTGTAAACTTCAGTTAAGACTTCATATGCATAACTGTGACGACAGCTTACATTATTGCTTGGGAATCCATTAATTTTGAGTTTTCGCAAAAATTTTATGTTTCTAGAAATTAAAGTCAAAATTAACGAGATTCTATTGTATGAGGTTTAATTTAAGGTCGCCCAATAAAATTGCAAATAATTTCGGAAATACATAATAATTTTAATTATTCATTATAGAATTGCAACAATTAACTTCAATTCAATTTCTTTAATTTTGTAATAAATTATTGATAACGATGCGCATCAAAAAGAGTTATTCAAATTATATATTATAAAATTAAAATATACTGCGCATATGATATTATATGTTTATTACTTTATTTTTTACTTTTTTCTCATAAAAATCAATAAAGTAGTAAACATTATTAAATGGCAAGCGAAATGCTTTAGGTTTATAGGTTAAGCGACATTTTAAACTAAATTTCTAATTGGGCGTTTTACTGAAAATGACATTGATAGTCGATTAATTCAATCTTTTAGAAGACAATTCTATTTTGCTGTTTTACAATGTGCGGAAAAAGATTTCGAAGTTAGAGAAAAATACATACACTTATACGTCAGTGAGAATGAAAGTCCTTTGGCAGTTAGACAAGATCTATATTATTTATTGTTCAGGCTTGATTCCTTGGACGTCAGTTAGCAATATATATTGGATATTTAACATTTTTTCCTAATATTAAATAACAGTTACAACATAAATATAATATTAAAAAAGATTTAAAATAAAATTTCTTTTATTGTGTAAAACATATAAAATAAATAAGAGGAAAACAATTCGAGTTGTATAAACTTTATATAAATTAAATAATATATATTTTTTCACATTTTTTAAAATTATATTATATAACTATAAGATCAGTGCTAACCGCCATCAGAGATATCGATCCTTAAGTCCCTATTAGAGTATGCATTGAAAATTAAGATTAAATTAAGATTTAAAAATTAAATTAAAATTCTATCAAACAAAAAAATATTTTAATTCCTTTTATTTTGATTCATCAAATTCCAATCTTTGACCTTTAATCTTCAATGCATAGTTTGATATGGGCTTTATGCATGTCTTTTGAATTTAAATGCGCATTCGTTCGTATGTATGCGAGTGTGCGTGAGTGCGTGCGCTTGTATTATATTATATATGTCCATATGTCCCACTATGTTGAGAAATATTTTTACACGTATTCAATAGCAAATAGCGCAATAATAACAGCAAAACGATCGTACCTTCTTATAAGTATAAGTAATATCTATATATAACATATCTCAAGTAATCATATGGATTACTGAAACATATTCCCGGTATATACATTCGGTTCGCATTATCTTGGTCTGTTGATTTTTTATATTGCTGGGCACGCGATAAGTAAATAATTCAATCAGTACAAATGGAGGATGCGCACCTAAAAGCTCCTCCGATATTATGTCTCTTCTAAGAATATTACAACAATGATCTAGTAATAGTAGTAGCGATAATAGAGTAGCAATCGTAATAGTATAATAATATGTATATTACGATAATAAAAATAGTAATAGTAATAATAACAATGCAGGATAGTAATGTTGTACTTAAAATAGAATTCAAGCTACAAATAGAAATTTCGAATTAGAGCCGATAGCGTTCGTGTTGTAGAAATAGTTATTAATGTATTCCGAGAAGAAAACATGTGAGTATTGTGTGTTACTACTTTCAGTAATATCAAGATGGTAGCTCTTTTGCAGCGTACATAATACATAAATTGATCATGAATCTTTTTTTTTGTCCAGCGTTCACTATATTTTTCTTATAAAGTGAACAAGAGTTTACACTTTATACATATTCCATTTATACGTATATCATTTTTATCAAATTGAATGGCGATAATTTTCTTAGACTTTAACTGTAGACATGGTATATCTAAATCGAGTGTTTGTCTTTATTTAAGAAGTAGGGATAGAAGTGCACATAGAAGAGAACTCATTTTGTTTCTTGCGTTCTTTTTCGCTCGCGCAAAATAGAACGAGAGAGAACCTATACTACGCACAAGCGAAAGAGAACGTAGGGAACACAAAATAGAGTGTGTCCATTTCTATGTGTACCTTGATTTTTTCAACTTTCCATTTAGATATATTATGACTATGACTTTAACACACACAATGTCGTATAAATCATATATATATATATTTTCACAAAAGAAAATTTCGCTTCAAATATGACGTTTTGTTGTTTAGCATTTAATCGATTTGATAGAATATTTGATACGTAAAATGAGCCATTCACTTATCTGTAAAAATATAGATATTACAGTGAAAAACTGTATCTATAAATATCTACTTAAATAATTTTAAAATGCTTATTTATTTTATTAATATTGGTATTTGTTAAGAACATGAATGGGTCACGTTACGTGAAATACTCTCTCTCTCTCTCTCTCTCTCTCTCTCTCTCTCTCTCTCTCGTCGCTTTTTTCTATTTTTCTCTATCTTTCTACATTATATATAATGTTCAGTGCGGATATTTCGCTATCATATGCCTGATAGGATTAGGCGCAATGACAATATTTTATATATTAATATGTGTAATCACACATAATCGACTAAGCTAAGCGTCATTTTTTCTGTTTGAAGCATTCACCGGCATCTTACTTATTTCTTAAAGATTCTATAAGATAGGAAAAGAAACGGAGATAAATGTACATGATTGCTGTTTATAATTGTGGAGCGGACGTGGATCTACTTTCTTCATAAAGAAGTGCTTCCAAAATTTATCACACGTGAGAAAAATGACGAATAATTAAAGATGAATTTATAGTGGATACTCTTTTCTCTCTTACGTTATATTTTCGATTATTCCATCGGTTATCTTTCCTCTTCATTCGTCCGACATTGTTCATTAGAGTTAATCCGTTTGATTTTTTATTTTAAATTTAATTTTAAGTTTGTTTATTACAGGCGAATAATTTCATAATTTAATAATATCATGAATAAATTAATAACTTTTCATTAAAAATCCCGGTTTTGTGTGTTAAGTTGTGGTAAGTTACGCTATAGTTATTTGTGTGTTTGTAGTAAAGATCCGATTATTACAAATTGATACGGTTATGATATTTTTATTTACACATTTAGAGGTATTTTTGTTCTTGAGAGAAAACTTGAATTCACTGTAGATTCAATCCTCATGTCCTGAGCATTGTTGTTGCCTATTACGAGGCTTCGTTGTCGCTCATACCAACGATAAGAGATATTTCGAGGATCGTTGTGCGTCGCTTTACGCTCTACGAGGTGCCTTTATAGTGAATAAAGAAGAAAGTGAGGAACATGAAATAGGCGATTGGAAAAGTGATCCTGGCTATCACATCAATTGTTTTCGCCACCCTAATCGGATGCGGCGGATCTTTTTTCCTTAGCTGTAAGAAAAAAGTTTACGTTATCATAATTATGTTATCAGACTTGAGAATTTTTAAAATAATTTTAAATTAATTGTATCGATCACTTGATACTATAAATTTTAATAATAAAAAACATTGTAATAAATGGGAAAAAGATTTACGGAAATCAATGTGTAAATCGATTTTATGTATTTGATTTGTTATTGTAAGTGTAAAAAATTATTCTTTACTTTTATATATATATATATATATATATATATATATATATATATATATGCTACATTTGAAATACATATACATACATGCATTCCATTTTTTTAAAAATATCGTTTTGAGAATATATACATAATTTATTATGTCTACACTGAGAAAAATAATCGGTGAAAAGGTAACGAACGGATATTATCCGATTATTAACCGATCACTTTAATCGAAAAAAAAAGAAATCGATCAGATATCCAATCAGAAAATATCAATCGATCGGATATCTGATCAGAAAGTTCAAAATTCAGAACTTTCCGATCAGATATCCGATTAAATCCGGTGTATAGTTCAATATTTATACATATTCAATAAGCAAACTTTGCGCAATAGCTAGCAGATTGACAACAAATTTACTAGAAGTTGTTAACAAATTTACTAGAAGTTGTTAGCAAGTTGACATTCGTTCTGTTCGCATTAGACTTATGATCTACTGGTAGAACTTGCTCATAGAATCTGAGTTTGCTGGCAGAAACCGAGCAAAATCTACAGCTTTTAGCCATTTATATAAAATGATGCATTTAAATGAAGAGAGAGCATTGAATTAAAGAGTATCGATATTATTTTTATACTTTATAAGTTAAAGAAAAATGAAAAATTAAATGCAATATTTTTATCAATAATTTTTTACATATTATTGTGCGCTTTTAACTCAGAGAGAAATCATCATTTGAAAAGACATCGAATTGCTATATTTTCGAGCGTTGATCTAATGTATATCATTATGTTTATACAGGGTGGGCCATTTTAAGTGATCCACTCCAATAACTTTTTTATATTTGAATGTACAACAAAATGTTTCAAATAAAAGTTGTTTGACTTCGAGGGGGACAGAAGATGGGTGGCAAAAATTTGACCTTGGATAATCATTTGAGGGTCACATAAAGATTACTTTCAATTTCTTAAATAGAACCCCCTATTTTTCATTGCATATTATTGTAGCTTATCTCGAGAGCTTTCCAAAACACTATAATTAAGTACCTTTTCATTAAGTACTTTTTGAGTTATAAGGCTTGAAATAATTTCTTAATTTTACATAAACCATAAAATATCTAGTAAACCATTCATTTTTCGATTATCTTACCTTGATACTTTTATGTACAAAATAATGAGAGGAATCAATCGGTGTAAAGAAAACACATAGTTGTTTCTAAGAAAAAATATGTAATTGTTAATTGCAAATTACATATTTTTTCTTAGAAACAACTATGTGTTTTCTTTACACCAATTGATTCCTCTCATTATTTTGTACATAAAAGTATCAAGGTAAGATAATCGAAAAATGAATGGTTTACTAGATATTTTATGGTTTATGTAAAATTAAGAAATTATTTCAAGCCTTATAACTCAAAAAGTACTTAATGAAAAGATACTTAATTATACTTAATTATACTTAATTATACTTAATTATAGTGTTTTGGAAAGCTCTCGAGATAAGCTACAAGAATATGCAATGAAAAATGGGGGGTTCCATTTAAGAAATTGAAGATAACCTTTATGTGACCTTCAAATGACTATCCAAGGTCAAATTTTTGCCACCCATCTTCTGTCCCCCTTGAAGTCAAGCAACTTTTATTTGAAACATTTTGTTGTACATTCAAATATAAAAAAGTTATTGGAGTGGATCATTTAAAATGGCCCACCCTGTATACTGATTCAATTTTCTCTGTTTTCCGTTACAGTTATGTAGAAAGAAGTATCATTAGCTCTTGAAAGTTTATCACGGCTAGAAGAATGAATAATCTTCTTTTTTCATTTCCTCCATTTTAGTTTTTGCAAATAAATTATATTTATTTGATATTTCTTTCGCTAATTTAATATTTGAATTATTTTTTCTGGCTGTATTATTGTCGAGACATTTCAATAATTAGTTGCTAAATTATAATCTTAATTTTCTATAATAGTAAAGATTGATCCAATTTTTTAGGTAAAATTTATGATTTTATAACAATAGATTTATAGACACAAGTTTAAGTCAGATCTAAGTCTCAGTATTCTTACATAGGCTGTTTTTTTTAGAGTTGTTATTCAGACTCTGGTAGAGATTAATAGTATTGCTATAATATTAGAAGGCAGATGGGAAATTGAGAGAGAGAGACGTGAGAAGTTTTATTTTTGTAGGATCTATTATCACGTTGCACGATTATCATTCTTCTTTATGGCTGTGCTAATAATAAGTAAATTTTACAATCATTACATATCTATTAAATAGCTATTAAAATGTCTATTAAATAGCTACTAAAATTACCAATTATAACAAAATAATATATATTATTAATCATTTTCACAAAATATAATTAATATAAAAAAACATATAGAATATTCATTTGGAAAGAAAATTGTTTTATAACTAATTTTTACAAAAGATGTCAAAAGAGATTAATTTTATTTTCAAAAGGAACGAGTTATGAATAAGATAAATTCAACTGTACTGCTTTATTCACTTCTTCAAGATAGCTATCTCTTCAAATATTTTAAATAGCAATAGGAATCAAGTGGTCACATTAGTTTAAAAATTTTTTGATTTTTTTTACTTTAATTTGTTTAATTTGAGTAATATTTTATAAGTAGTGTAATTGTACTTAGAAGTTTTAGATACAAAGAAATTTGAAATATACAAAGACATTTTTAGAGTATAATTTATTTACTTTAAAGTTTCTTTTATTGTAGCAAATAAAGTCTAAAGTATTCTTCGTTATTTGTTAAATATTAATAAAGATTCTAAATTAATGATTCTCAAATGAACATTATGAAAGACCTCTCTATAACTTTACATCCCTTTACAATACTTTAACGTAAATTGTTCGTATTTTCCAGTAGAGCTTTAAATATTGTATTTTAAATATCTATATGTGGCAAATTTTTAAATAATTTCCATCTTTAACTATATAATATTTCTAGTTATTGAGATATTACTTCATTTTTGGTATATTGCTTTTATTTATATTATTCTATTTCCATCATTGTGTTAAATTAAGTTTTTTATATAATATATTAAGTGCCAGATAAATTTTAATTTTATTTAAATTAGATATTTGTATGTGTGTGTATTTATATGTGTAATAATTTGGATATTTAAATGTTAGACTGTGTATAAATTTCTATTTTTGGAAAATTCGCAGAAAATTATATTTTTGAAAATATTTAAATATTGCGTTTTTAAATATAAAATGAAATTTCATAGTTGCATTAATAAATTTAAGAAGTATAAGCATTGTTTATTTATAATGTCATTAATTAGCATATTTATAAAATCACTTGAAACCAGAGTGGATTTCACTACATACCTCTCATAAAAAGACCTAAAATTTCAGTCAATTGAATGATTAAAAATCATTAATTAAAAAAAACCTGATTAAAACTTGAAATTAGTACCTATTAGTACCTATTGCAAAATAAATGTTCTATAAAGTGTAACAAATACTACAATAAGCCTATTGTAAATGTTTTTTTATAGCGTTTGATGTTTTTTTATAGCGTTTGATTATAGCGATGATCAATGTTTGATGATTCATATTTGCTTTGTCATCATCATTTGAATTTATTCTGGGAAAAAAGCCAAAAATTATATATATCGTACAGTGGAATCCTATTATAGCCGACCCCGAAATAACGAAAATATCTCTTGCTAGGCCATTCCTGAATAGTATGAATGGAGATAACGATCTAAGTGCGGTAGATCTGTGGATTTAATGTTCTTAATTCTCTCTTTCCGTGTACTTGGAAAGTACATGGTTGTGCAAGTCTCGAGCACTCCTGAAGCTTGGAAGTCGGGAAATCCACTATAACTTTGTTAAATGAATCAAAACTCAGTACATTATTACAGGATTCCACCGTATTTTTTTAAATTCCGGTTTTATATATATTTTCCATATAGCATATTTTCCAAGAAAAAAAGAAAATATAATATTTGTATTTATGATATGTGTAATATGATAGTAGATTATTACTATATAAATTATTAATAGATTATTATGCGCGCGCGCGTAATAAGTTTACTTACTTCGGCAGTACAACCATTCGTTGCCGTATGCGTGCAAGGATTAGGTCCACAATTGGTGCAAGTGACAATCTCGTTCACTCCAGTAGTACCACCAGTAGTAGCTCCGCCCTCTCGCTTCTTTTTACCCTGCGACAGGGTCTTCGTAGAAGAAACTTATAATTTCAATGACAATATGTTTTAAACAACGATTCATCCTTTAGACTTTTCCCATTCTTTCTTCGTTAGAGTTTTCCTCAAAATATTCCATAGGTACATTACAGATGTACAGATGTTCATAATTTGTCATGTTCCTATCAAATATCTCTATTGATTTTTCGATTATTTTTGTTAAGTATTTTTGTACAAGTAGATATAGTTCAAGTAATTGATAAACATGGAAAAAAGGAAACATCTTCTATATCTCTTCCTTTTAATATGTTATTACAATAAAATAATTTATTTTTATTTTTCGGAGAGAGACATACATATAATAATATAAAAAAATAATCGGTAGTATAATATTTTTTATATAAATGTACTAAATAATAATATAAGCATATAATAAAGAAAGTCTTTGACAAGAATACAATTAAACTTGTACATTTACATAAATATGTGATTCTTTTAAAAATTATGTAAGACGGATATCACTTTCGTATTATAAATAAATGCAAAATATTTATTACTTTTTCATTGGTTTGGCAAAAGTTTTATTAAGAATTGTTATTTTAAAATAGCATCGAATATTCCCGCTCATTGAGAAAAGATGATAGAGAAATAGCGAATTGCCCTTTCTTATATAATACAAAAAGATACAAAATAAAAAAAACAAAGAAGTTTTTCCATTTAATACACCTGATCTGAATCCTTGATAAATTAGTAATTACTTATAATAAATTTTGACAAGATCACGAAGAGAAAACTATAAATTAAATTATCGATAATCGCGAAAATTCTTTGTCCATTGTGAAAGTCATCAAAAAAGAAGATGAATCGTTATTTTTTAATAATTTAATATTATTTATTAGTATATATGAATATTAATCAACACTTTTTTTCGTGCCTCTGTGTTATAACTTATAAATTACATGCCATGTAAATGACTTATGATATTTCACATCGGACCTAAATCAATTTCTTATTATAAAAAATAATTTAAACATATCCCCGTGAGTTTTTCATACGAAAATTATCGGTTTTATCATTAGGAATTTAATAAATTTGCGAAGCAATTCAAATTTGATACAATTCTTACTAAACATTACATTACTTAAAAGATTATAAAATTGGTTAGTTATAAAAGATCCGATGTGAACATTATTCTCGTAGAAACATTTGTATACGTCTCTAAACTATTCAATAAAATATTTTCTTAGACACAAAATAAATTTTCTTTACAAAATAAACCGCTGATATTATTGCTTAAGTAATTGCTCTGTAATTTTTTCAAAATTTTATAAGAAAGACGATAAGAGAAGAATAAAATATATTTTTTTATTATTTAATTATAATGTATGTGTATTGTATTATTTATATTATATTAAATTGTTTATTTAAATTTATATTATATTTTTATTATTATATTTTTAATAAATATATAATATAAATATTTTTAATAATATATAATATTATTATATTTTTTTATAGAATTAATTAAATTTAAAAATATTCCCGAATATTTTTAAATATGGTAATACAATTTTTTGGAAATAATATGATATATATGGTATATAATAAATAATATAATATGGTATATAATAAATAATATTATTTTAAAATATAATTTATAGTAAAAATATTTTATACTACACGTACACAAAATAGCTTACTTCTCAGCACGTTTTTCGGTATGATTTTATTTGAAAATATTTGTGATAAAACTGTACTGAATTTTTGAACGGATTTCCGCACCGCCTTATTGCATCTTCAGAGATATTTCGTCTCAAGCTTATGCTATGTGTTAAGCTTAAATAAGAATTAGTTCAATGGCAGAAGCAATTGATTGATCACAATTAAGGCATGATGTATATAATGAGATAATAACTTATAACTAATGATATTACTTTTTTATTACTTTTTGTGTATAATCGTCATTTTAATTTTTGACTCGAAATGATTTACTTATTATTAAATATTTATTATGATTTTTGTATTAATGAAAGGATCTGTTGTATAATTTGATGAGTTATGATATTATGAAAATCGCTTTTTTACTTTGTTTGTCTTAATTGGATTAATTAATAATCATTGATCATAAAATCCATGCTTAAAAAGTTTTAAATACTAAAAGCATTTAGAATAAAGATAATTTTCAGAAGATTATTTCTGTTTTCTTCCGATTGCATGCTCATCTTTCAAAGCTTTTCTGTCTTAAGAATGCTGTCTGCAAGTGATGATCTTTAATACGCCAGCTGCCATGATGTTTCTATTTAGAATATTTTTTCTTTTTTAAAGTTTTTTGGTTATTTATATTTTTATATTTGATATATTTTATAACAAAAAACTAACAAAAGAAACTTTTCCAAAAGTTTAAGTTTATAACATTAATTAGGAAAAAAAAAAAAAAAAATATATATATATATATATATATATATATATATAAAGAAATACCATCAAAAAATATTTAACAACCTTTTACTAAAAAGAGATCTATAATATCCAATAAAAATTTCTTGCGCGAAAAATCCTGGCCGCTGGTGATATAGCTGAAGTAATTAAAACAATCGTGAAAGGATACATCGATATTTTTTAGCGAACGTTTTCACGATAGAAGTAAACAAAAAAGTATCAGTTATTTAATTTAATCTTCTTTACTTGGTATTTAATTTAAGATTTTTTACAAATAAGGAAGGGCCAATTATTAAAACAATGTCAAATAGTTAAAAAAATTAGTGTTTGATAATCAAATGACAAACAACAAAATTAAAATTCTGAATTCATCAAAATACAAAATTTTAATATACACCTCTATGTAAATATATACTTTTTAAATTATATAAAAAGTGATTGGATTATGCAAAACGATTAAATAAACACATTTTTTTCTCTTCAATTATTGTGTAAATATTTTATATATAAGGCATTTTATTCCTTATTAAAGCATTGAAAATATCGAAATATCATATAAAGCAATGAATAAAATTATAGTATGCACTTATGCATGTGCACGCTCTTATATATTTCATGTGTAATATGTACATTTTAGTAATTTTTTATCATTAATATATGTAGTAAAATACAGGTCAAGCGGAAAAAAGAAATCTCTTCCTTTTTATATAATCACATTACCTATTTTATATAAATACAATGATTCGCTAAAATAATACAATTATGAAGTTATATCTTTAAAATTGATAAGATTGTGATATATTTTGCTTTTATTCAGTTTTAATAAATAAAATTTAGAAGATTAATAATAATAAAATTTAAAATACTTACTTTATAAAATTTAAGAGATTAATCAAATTATGCAACGTAAATTATTTGTCATTCTTTTACTAATAAATATAGATTTTCTAAAAAAAGATTTCTTTTCTTCTATATATTTATTTTCTTCTATGTATTTATTTTCTTCTATGTATATATATGTGTTTGCATCTAACTTACTAACATACTTGTTATGTATAAACAGAGATGTGTAATAAAAAAGCATGAAGAGCATAAAGAATGTTACTCAAGTATTATAAAAGAGTAAAAAAAAATTACATTGAAATATTGTATTTTTAATAACAATATACTGAGAAAAGATGTAAATTTTCAGATAAATTTTTATCATAAGATTTATTCTCATAAAATTATTTCTTGCTGTTATGTGTGCGATTGATAATATAAATATATAATATAAATATAAACATATACGTTTACGCATACGCTTACGTATGTGCTCATGCTTACTATACAAGCTCAAGCATACATTCATATCACGCTCATGCACTCACATATTTAATATATATATATATATATATATATATATATATATATATAATGTGTGTATATGTATGTATGCTCAGTTTCATGTATGTATACACAATTCGCGCACATATACATAAACTTGCGTCGTACACAAACGCACATATCTGTATCAACATACATATACACTCATACCCATTTACGAGATAGATTTAAAAGTTCTTGAAATTTAACACACTCTTTAAAAACAAAAAAACGATACGCGAAATAATTAAGTTCGAAGTATTGATAGTAGTCGCGTTATTTTTCTTCAAAGTGCGTTTTGTTGTATATTCCATTATTTTGGTTGAACATAAAAAGAATATGTAATAAAAAATAGAGTTCTATTAAAAAAAAAAAAAACAAAGTTGGCCTCCATATGATTTTGGCACGTTCAAACCAATGATATCTTATGTCCCCCTGGAAATAATAAAATTTTTGTAGGAAATACTTTCCGAGCTTTACATTTATAAGTCTTGGTTTTCGAGAAAAATCAGTGTGTCACTTAGAATAGAGCATCCTGTATATATCTTGAGTTACGATACAGAAATAATAATCTGTAATTAACACTCCGATTTGTATGTAATGAGAAATATACATATATTAAAATTTATTTGTTGGAGTAAAAAGTAGCATTTTTGAATAACTAATTAAGATAAAAGATTTATGACATGTTAATAGATAAATCTACTAAAGAATATATTATATTAAATGCATATGAAAATTATGAGAAATGTATGAAATATTTCGTTTATAACTTTTTATGAAACAAGGAGCAATGGCTAAAATTTTTCGAAGGTTATTAGAGTAGTGACAACATACATAAATAAAGATCAAGACGATTCGATCTGGTTGTCCTGTTCTAAATTTACCAGAAATTGTATGTTTATATGTTAAAATATAAAAATTTACCAGAAATTGTATGTTCAAATGTTAAAATATGCTCTCCATTTCATATAATTACTATAATGAGAAATATTCGAATTATGAAAATATCAGAAAAATTTTTCCATACATATAAAAAATAATAAAATGCCTAATTTTTTAAAATATAAATATCAAAATAAATATTTTTCATTTCCAAATATTAAAATAAATATTTCTAATTTCGTAAATTTATCCTTGTTGCGCGAAATTTTTGCTATCTTCCATTTCTATACTCATCAAAATAAAAGTAAAATATGGAAATACAATAGAATATATAGGATATATATTCAACATACAAACACACATATACACACAAACACACACACACACACATGCGCGCGTACGTGCGCGCGACAGATTTTAGATGATACTAGAACAAGCATTTGTATGTATTTGTACGACGTGTGTATACGTATATGTTTTTAGGACGCAGTCAAGATTTTGCACATGCATATATACATTGTGTTCTCTTTTTCTTTTTTAATTTTAATCTTCTTTTTGATTATTACTTACATACACTTATACTATACGAAGTTACATGCATCATAATACGTTTCTCTCTTTTTACTAGATTACAATATTATGTTTTTTTGTAAAATTTCAATAAATTATAGAATTATAAATATTTTGCAATCCCTATTTCGGAATGCAAACTAAAGATGCGAACTCATGACTGCGTCCTAATGCAATAGGAAATCTTACCAAAGGGCTGGCCAATATAATTCCTATCCTGCTCAGTACTGCTGGGAGCCGCTGCAACATCACAGACACCAAACAAAGAGACTTACCAACATTTCCACCAACCAAATTCTTACTAATCGTGTTTATAACAGAAACAGACAAACAGGAAGAGAAAGAGAGTGTGAGAAAGAGAAAAAAAACAGAGAAAAAAGAAAAAAAGAAAATAAAGAATATCCAATTTTTTTATATTTTTCATCATTATTTTTGAAAATGTCTTTGTTTTTATTAATTTTTTTAAACATTTTTTTAACAACAATGAAATGTTTCCTAATGTGATATTCAAGTTATTAATTAATAAATTAACTGAATGATGGAATTTTTTATTTCTTTTTTATTTGAAATTTTTATGATATCTCGGCTGTTATTTCGAAAAATATCATGTTCCAGTTTGGATTAAACTTTGTAAATAAGTTCCTTTTACATAAAAAAGAAGTATACGAAAAGGATTTTTGACAACTCAAAAATTAAGACATTTTTTAAATACTTTTAAGTTTATTTGAAATGCCTTTCAATTGATCTTGATGTTAAATTTAACTTCTAAGTAGATCGAGGTCATTGATTTTTTCCGTCGCTTGTCGTTTGTTAAAAAATTGTTAACGAAAAGAATTATTTTAAATAATTAAATAATTCTTAAATAAAAAAGAAAGAAATTATTTAAAAATTATTAATTTATTATTGTCTTTGCCTTTCAATTTATTAGAAAAATTTATTTTATTATAAAAAGTGCGCATAATTTAATTATGAGATAAAAACATTTTTAAAATATATAAAAAATAAAAATATATTATAAAAATATATTTTATTAAAATATATATAAATATAAAAATATATTTTATTAAAATATATATGAATATAAAAAATCTTAAAAACAAGGAAGAAAAGGGATAATGAAGAGAAGAAAAATTGAGAAAAAAAATATATCATAATAAAAAAATTGAAAGTAAAAATAAAAATAAGTGAAAATGAAAAATAAGAGAAGTCTGAAAAATTGTTAAAAGTAAAAGAGTGAGAATGCACTGTAGAGATGTACATATTGTATCTGTTTCAAAAATAATGAACGTTTTCTAAGAAATACTGTCATTTATGCTAATGATGCTCAAATTTACTGTATACTGAATTATGTCTCTTATACGGATGTCTTCATGTGCTGATTTTAAAATTTTGATATTTACACAATGAATGTTAAATATATATTGTCGTACATCAATCTTCGAATAGTCTTAAAATTGATCGATTATTGTCAATAAAAATGTGGCACAATCTGTGTGCAATTTTAATCCAAAAAAATTTACGAATAATTGGATGAAATTTGACAGAAAATAACACTCACACTCTCTAAAAAAAATTGAATTGAAAGATATAGAAAATCTCGAGAGATGCAGATAATAGAAAAGATCATACTGTGTTTGTGCAAAGTCACACCAACAAGTTCATATGTGCAGAATGTAAACGCGATAAAAAAATGGGATATGTTAACAAGTATCAAACATCTTATACAGAAAATTCATTCCTAAAAAAATTTGACAGCACTCAAAACACATTATAGCTTAAATAATTATTTTTATTTATGATTACCTTTTGCAAATTCTTACTGCGCTACTATAATGGCTTTCCTTTAAATGATTTTATGGAAAATACTATACTATAATAACTCTTTTTTATTTGATATTTGAGCCACTGGACTTCTTTGTGCAAGACAATAATATTATCATATGTTTTTATATATCTGCACACATTTTATAAAAAAAATTCTTTAAAAAAAAATACTTTATAAAAAATACTTTATAAAAAAAATACTTTGTACTACCAAAAATCTAATGAATTATGTAGTATGAAGCAATAAAATAACAATTATGCTAATAAAATGTGTTTCGTGGTAGAACTACAACGTGGTGTGCATACAACTCTGCAAAGTTTGGTCATAGCAAAAGGCACATTACATATATCATGATATATAGATTTTAGAAACAATATTTGGAAATCCACAGCTTTTCATCGCGTCCACATTACCAGAATTTTTGATCGCAAGTCAATATGAGACCAGTCATGATTTAAAATGAGATTTCCAATTTTTGATATATATGTATGTTTACCTGACGTTATGTCTGTTCCGTTTGACATATAAAACTTGTTTTCTTGTCACAATCTTCTTATGAAATGTTCTTATTCGATGAAATCAGAAAGATGATCGCGAAGCTGTTTTATAATTAAGTTAAATTCGATGTAAAACTTCACAGAATATAGGATGTTTCAATTTGTTTCTGTTAAAAAAAATTTATCATACAGATCCTGACAAATTTATATTATCAATATCGATAATCTTTATTTAATATCGATGTCAGCATTATATTATCGCAAAATCGTAACTCGGAGAGATATCACTTAGAATGTAGATATCGTTTTAAATTTACTCATTTGTGCACAAATACGGGAAATCTGTTTGTTTGTGGTCTCAACAATGACAATTGTTAATCTTACTGTCCATATATATATATATATATATATATACTAGCAGGATTATTAATAATTTCTCTGCAAAATTTTTCCGTATTACCTAATTACTTATCGTATATGAGGTTATCATTAGAACTGATTTAAAACATTTTGATACATTTTATGTTTTGTATTATAGTTATAAAATATATCCGCATTTACATACTAAAGAGTCGTATTTATATATTAAATAATTAATGGTGATTATGTGAAATTAAAAATATGAAAATTTTAATATAAATTACTTGATTTTATCGATGGTAACTGGTTTCTTTAAACCAACTCTGCAAATATTAAATTAACTGTTAAGAAATGATTTATATCATTGTACGTGTGTGTGTATAGGATGTGACAATATAAATTATTATTATAAGAATTTAGAATAATATTATTACTTATAGAGAAAAAAATGAGTAAACTAATGTTGCATGGTTTTAAAGAGTTTTAACATAAGATGAATCCAACGAAAGCTTATCTTGAAGAGATATTTCGATTTTTTTAAAAATGAGCTTTGATTTTTTTAAATAAAAATACTTATTTCTTTTTGTAACAGGATTGCAGTATATATATTTTTGAAATTTTTTATTATAGAGAGTTATGGCCAAATTCAAACGATTACAGAAAAAATGAGAAGAAAGAGAAATTTTTATCCTATTTTCTAAATCATTGGCTAGGCCGAAATGATTCTTTTACTTTCTCAATGATCACTTGATGCTTCTTGATTTTTTTACCATTTGAAGAATAAAAAGTACATAGAAACTCCGCCTTACAATAATTGATATGCAGAAACGTATTATCAAATGTGATGCAAAATAACACTAAACATATTATATATTATATGTAAGACAATCATTAATGCATTATAAACATATCGTAATTATAAACATATCGTATATTGCAAACAGTTGTCCTATTAAACGTTAAATAAAGTTATCTGTAAATAAAATTAAATAAATCTGTAAATAAAGTTAATACTAAACAATAATAATAATTAAATAATTTAAAATCGGTTATCAAAAAATTCATAAATCAAATTGCCGTTTAGAGTCATCATCTGTTTAATTAACACTCTACTTTCCCCCTTTGGCTGCATTTATACATAACATCATTTATGACGCTATCCCCAAGGCACATAGTTATATTATTATTAGCTTTGAATTAGTCAAAAACTGTCAGGTATAGTGTAGGATAGATGATCATTTTAAATTACTATCGTTGGATGTTGTTTCTCTCTTTACCAACATCCCATTAAATCTAGCGTTGGATAGCGTCTGAGAAAAATAATGTTTCGTAAAAGAAAAATGCAGCATTCCTCGCTACGAGTTCCAATTCGATTTATACTCAATTCCATTTTTGATAGAAAAATTTATCAACAAATATTCGGAGCTCCAATAGGCTCTCCTCTATCCTTCATCATTCTGCCGATATCATTCTGCAAGATTTAGAAAATAAAGCAATTAGACATCCCCTTCAATTTATCATTTTATTATAGATATATGTATGATATATATGTATAAAGCTTTGGCAGTTCTCTCTCTCTCTCTCTCTCTCTCTCTCTCTCTCTCTCTCTCTTTCTCTTTCATGTTCAATAAGGTCTTCAATTCTTTTCATCTGAGGTTTTAGTTCACAGTAGAGGAAGGAGTTAGTAATTTCCTTGATGTTACGATAATCGTAAACAATAATTTACTCGAATTCGATTGGTATCATAAATCTACTTTTTCCGGGAGATATTTAAATTATAAGTCGAATCATCATAACAGGAACAATCATAGGATCGGTGGATCGTGCTTTTTTATTGTCGCATCCGAGATTCCACTAAAAAAACTTTGAGCTGATAATCATTGTCCTCTTAAACAATAGCTACTTTTTATCTTGCATTTTCAATGTAATGCGAGAACGTCTGAGATTGCTGTTAGTCAAGAATCAAACAAATTTAGAACTTAGATGACTATTCCCTAAAAAACCCTCTTCAGATTTTACAATACCATACATTCCAACATACCTTTTCGAAATAATTTAAGCGAATTTTTCGTGATCATGGCACGGGACTATTTTATTTCGGCCTAAATAAACTTCGTAGTTTTATCAAAGTCCATTAAGTCCATAATGCCAAAAGATTCGTGGAACAATGTGGTATACATATAAAGTCTCGTGCAATGATTGCGATGCGTCATATGTCGATCAGATTAAAGACAATTAAAAAAACGAATTTCGGAACACCGAAACCACATCCGAAAAAATACGTCACAACTTTCGATCATAACCAATCATAAAGTTGAATATGGTCACGATTTTAATTGGGAAGAATCTGAGACTTTGGAGTCCTTATTGTGAGCAAAAGACTCGTCTTCAAGATGCTGTTTATCAAGCGACAACAAAATAGTTTATAGAGTGATATGGAGGGCTTGCATCATGCATTCACGATGATAATCTATAATTTATCGAGGATATGAAGCGTTTGTTCATATATTTATATATGTTCGTTATCATTGAGTCAACCGAGTTTATCCTTGGTTGAATCTATGTTTATGTCCTAACAATCGAGGACATATTTATATATTTCATCATTGACTCTCAAACCAACATGAGAGACACACAACAACATACATGCGTTATTAATTATAAAAAGCGCGGAATCTGATGAGTCATGTTTCCGACTATTAATTAAAACATGAAAAGCTAATTCACGTGTAATATCTTTTTGTATTCACATTTTTATTCGTTTTGTTAAATTTGTTATGATTGACATATTACACTGTACCATTACAAAAATTTGATGAATTACCGAAAACAATGTGCTTGTTGAATCCCCGCGACGTCATCTGCGCGCCAATAATAAATATTTTTGCGTAATTTAATACGTCGCATTTAACACTGTGTAATATATTTTGTTAACATTACACTAAAAAGGGATCAAATATGATTCTTCATTTTTTATTAATGTAACTTTTTATTTTTATTCTGAAATAAACGAGTAATCAGAAAGAAGGAAATGTTATCACAGCAAATAAGAGTCTACCACGCTGTGACTCTTATTTGCCAATTTCGATTTAATTTTTAATTTACAATGATAATAGTTAATTCTTATCATAATGTTCCTCTGTAAATAATCATTAGAAATTGATCATAATAATCCATGATAATTGCATTCAGAAAGATGTACTACAATCCTGTTATAAAAATCATATTTTAATTGGAAAAAAGAAAAAGTTTTTTGTTTTTAAATTTCCAAATACCTGTACCTAACAAGATTTCTTTTGATTTAGTATTAAGCCTTAAAACCATGCAACTTTATACGCACAACATACATACGCATAACATACACACGCACATGCATACACGAGCGCACGCATACACGAGCGCACGCATATACAGAATGGACGAAAAGTTTATATATATATATATATATATATATATATATATATAAACTTTTCGTCCATTCTGTATATATATATATTTTTTTTCCTTTTTTTAAAATATATATTGATATAAATCTTGTTTTCTATATTTATATGTCGATATAGCAAAATAAATTATTTTTTCGAAAGTAAATATAATATTTGGAATTAATTTAAAAAAGCGCGCGCAGTCACCATTGATTAAAATAAAATAATTTATATCACAATATTTTTATGCTTTTAGTTTAATTTATATAAATACGAATTTTTGTATGTAAGTATGTAAGTATGTACATTTATATATATATATATATATATATATATATATGTGTGTGTGTGTGTGTGTGTGTAGAATGTAAGTAAATTATAATATGTAAATAGTATATGTGTGTGTGTATGTGTATAGAGTATCTCTTGAAATTCGCGAATCAAAATATTACAATAGTAAAATTTTGAAAAATTAGTATCTTTTGTTCCAAGCAATAGTTTTTGACATATAAGAGCTTAAAACTCTGGCCAATCACACAGGTTATGTTTAAACAGTTGCTTGTTCGGCTATGAATTACATGCGCATTAATAGTAGTAATAATATATGTACGTTTAAAACAAGCGACTGTCGTACTTACCACTAGGTGAACTGTGTGATGTGATGACTTAACGTATCCTGTGATTAACTAGAACTATAAATTCTTATAGCTTAAAAATTACTGTTTGAAATAAAAAAATCGTAAATTTACTTTGACTATTTAATTTTTCGAAAAACTTTCTTCGCTATATTATTTTGTTTCTCGAACTTTAAGGCATTTGGTGTGTATGTATATATACATATATATGTATATACATAGACACACCACGCGCGCGCGTGCGTGCGTGCGTGTGTGTGTGTGTGTGTGTGTGTGTGTGTGTGTGTGTGTGTGTGTGTGTGTGTGTGCGTGTGTATTAATTAATATTAATAATATGGAAAAGGCAGTACGGCTCCATTCATACACTTTAATTGTTAACTATCCGAGAGTGTGATTTATGTATCACATCGGACAAAATATTAATTAGCAAAATACCTGGGTGACGGGGTTTTCGCCTGGACGATAGACAACGTTGTGCATCGGTCGCTTGCGACCGACATAGTTCACGCAAACAAATTCGAGAAGACTCGCGTAGATGAAGCACATGCACACGCCGTCCCATACATTCATGGCAGTCAGGTTTGAAACGACGGGCAACGTTCCCCGGAAGCCATTCGACGTAGTGAAAAAGTTGAGCATTGTTGTTACACCTAAAACATGATGGAGTTTTGTTTTCCAAGGTATTCGTATTAAAAGCTAAGTACTATTTAAAGCATTAAAAGCTAAGTATTATTTCTTAATTCCTCCCGCAAGGCAAGAGGAACGTAAAAATATAGCCGTAGCGTCATCAAAACCGGTAACCGGTTGATTTATCGACCTAATTATTGATTGCCGCAGAAAAGTATGCTGAGTTGATAATTATATTATTGCCTAATGCTCTTTAACGCACAATATTAATATTACGCTGAAGATGAATAAAAAAATGATTCGAAAAGTTGGTATTTAATAAATGTATTGTGACAAATATTTTAAAATATATTAATAATTAAAAGAAACAAAAAGGTGTTTCTTTTCGTTCTTCCTTATGTCCCAATTATCACATCTTGGCTCTTACAATTTTTCATTAATTTTACATATCTAAAACTCATTAAAATCGGAGGGGGACGCTTCCAACTCTTTTCTTGTAGCTTATCGTTCCTCTATATATGTATTACTACACTACTGTATTACTACTACATTACACTTTTTTTGCAAGCCGCGCATCTGCCGCGATACTCTTCCGGATGAGCATCGCATGCGTCGTCTTACTTCGCGCACACTTTGATTACACATATAAACTATTATAATATTTATCATTATAAAGTTGTAATTACATTTAAATAAAACTTTAAGTTTATAATTAACGCATCAATTCTATAATTTTTCCACATAATATACGGTTCTTCATTATCTAAAAGTTTGATTTTTTGCAAAATGTACATAACTATATTTTATTGCAAATATTACATTTTAAAGTGCGCGATTTTTTTTACTTGCTAGAACTAGAACTTTCTTTTTTAAAACAAAGATAAGATTATTTATTTAAAAGTTATTTTTTTCGTAGGTAGGACATTGTACAGGGTGCTTCCGCAACATACAGATCCGTAAGTCGGGTTGCCTATCTGACGATCGATCTTCTTTTATCGACCTCGCATAATTGAAAAATAATAAAATCAGAGGATCAATGTAATTTTTTTTGGAAATCACTTCTCCGATGATTCGGAGAGTAAGGAAAAATTTTATGCGGAGGATTGCTTTATGTTTAGAAGAGAATGGTGGTTATATTGAGCATATATTGTAACTATTAGAAAATAGTTTTTTGTTTAAATTTATTATATTTTATCTATGTTATTATATTTCAATTGTGTCATTTGTCATGTTATTAATGTTATTTAAGTTATTTATGTTATTAAATATAATGTTATTTATGTTATTAAATATTACAATTACACTATATCAATGTTAAAAGCTGATTTTACTTTCCTCATTCCCTACGAATTTGCATTCAAGGTATCAAGGAATTTTTTCACTTTTCACGAAAAAAAATTATATCGATTCTCTGATTTTATTATTTTTCAATTATGCGAGGTCGGTAAAAGAAGATCAATTGTCAGATAGGCAACCCGACTTACGGATCTGTATGTTGCGCCCTGTATATCCCGGAGGTACGAAAGAGTTAGATTCGGAACCCTCTGTATATATAAATAGTAAAATTTTAATTATGAAATTAAATTATGCAAAATGTACAAAATCTTTCATTTTTTGACATAAAATAATATTATTCATAAATTATCTTAATATCGCTAGTCAATTAATCAAAGGTGATTCTTTTCTTATGTACTTGAAAGAGACCACATCCATATGGTCGAAACGTCGTAATAAATAAACAAAATTTTGGCTAGTTTTGATCGATTATATTATTTCCAATGATCCTTTAAATAATATTATGCTATATAAACTTACCAATCATCACTCGCGCCGGCACGGCATTCCATTCAAGCCAGAATGTGATGAAAGAACTGGTTACCAAAATAATGCCCGGGATAAAAACCGTCGTGAAGTAGAAAGAACGGTCCCGCGTAAAAATCAGATCCACTTTTAAACAGCTGTAATTACCTAAATCACGTACACAGAATTTTATTTTTGTTGATGTAATAACAAAAATTGATGTAAGTTCATACTTTTGAAAAGTAGAAAGAAGATAATAATATAATATTGATATAAGTAGAAGCGCGAATCATTAACGGATAGTTACTCAAATAGATATTTAAATATTATTTTTTATTTGTTCATAATAACGAATTTATTCAAAATTAATATGTTTAATCTTAGAAAGTTGAAAATTCTCTTTTAAAATCATAAAGCTCCAAAAACAATAATGGAATGTTTAATATCTAAGGCAAAATATATGATGAATAATAGAAATGTTTTAACTTTTGTTAAATAATGCATAAGTAAATATATACAAATTTTTGGAACTACAAGTTTTACGATTATAGTGATTACAAATCTGAGATCAAAATTACAGATTTCAAAACTATAGATTTAACATGGCAAAAAGGAAATCTTTTGAAAAAGTTACATCTCATTGATTATTTTGACTTTTACATAGTGAATAAAATGAATTATAGATCTTTTAAATCACGTTGTAAACTGTTCTAATTTCTTTAATGTAATACTTTAAAATATTGCATTGTTACTTTTGATTACACAGGCCTGCGAAATATTAGGTTTGGTTAGTTGCAAAAAGCAGAGTAGGTAAATATGATAGATTTTTTAACGCTGAAAACGAATCTGGTCGCAGAATTTCTCCAACATGTTAGGTTTTTGAGTAATTTGTGGTTAAATAGCCCAAAATGGCTATTTCGGCAAATTTCATGAATTTATCGTGCAGCTGCAATCGAAAATGGATTTGAAAATGGATTTGAAAGGTGAAGACTAGTACTATACGATTTTGTCATTGATAAAAATATTTCAAAAAATTAGGTTCTTTCATAAATTCATGAAATTTGCCGAAATTGACATTTTGAACTATTTAACTATAAATTACTCGAAAATTCTGCGGCCAGATTCGTTATTAGCATAAAAAAATCTATCAAATTCACCAACTCTGCTTTTTATACTGACCCTCCCAGGCCTGTGTTATGTTTAATTTTCCATATTGTCTTATTCATATCTTTTTGCTAATATTTTTTGTTTATATATCATCTCTCTTGTCTTTGACTTACACTATTGTTAACAGATTTTATCTATTTTTGACAGTTTTTACAAATAGCTTTCAACATGTGACTACAAAAGTTTTTGAGCCCAAAGTATAACTTGTATTTTTGCTCTGCTTTATTGCGAATATGTACTGCAATTCCATCATAAAATAATTCTAAATTAACTTAACCTAATTTCTGCTTTTTAAATAAAAATTAGGTTTAGATTAAATTAAATTAAATTTTTTTTTGGGATACAAAGGAAAAGATAAAATTTTTTCATGCGCGTACTTTACAGTAAAGTAAAACAATAAAGTATATCGTTTTCAACGTAAGTAGAAGTTTACTTTCCTTTACCTATAATTCTCGTTTTGAATGAATTGTTGCAAATTCATGTAAAAAATTATATAATTATAACATCGAAAGTACTAACATTTTTTAACATGATATATCAAAATCAAAGTTATTAAAGCTGATAACTAAATATACTTAAGATACGACTTTTTCCTAAGTTTATGTAGAAAATTTTGAAATAATATATTTCTGAAATTAGAAGAGAACACAACGTGATTTAAATTGCAGATAATTCTGCAGTGGATTTTATTCAATATGTATTTTATTCAATATGTATAAAATTTAAAGTAATCAGTGAAATGTAACTATTAGACATCTATATAATATTAAATTGTTAACTTCTCAAATTTCGCTTATAAAATTACGAAAAGCATATAAAGTATCTTTCGTTGCACATGCGCAGAAGCCAATATAATAGATATAATGTAGTTTGCAGTTATTCTAATTTATGATATTAGTCCTATTTCTTAATTAACACGTGTCATCGTGAGAAGTTAAATAAAAAAAAAGAATTAGATTATTCCTTAGGATTATAGATTAGGGTATTCCTTCTACCGCTGGCAGGAGTTATACCCTCACCACTTTGTACTTTTTGATGAGAGAATAGTACCATTTCCATTTCTTAACATTGATCCTAACAGGCGTAAGAGGTAAAAAACTAAAAATCTCTAATAACTGTATTTTTAGATCGATCACAACGAATAGATTTTTTTCTCCACGCGAAACAAGGATTATTTCGTACTGCTTGATATCAGTATTATTAAATGAGAATTATTATCATACAATTATACATAGATTTCCCACACGAAGCGAAATCTCTGTCCTGTGTTAATAGTGAAAAACAAGGTTTATTATTGTGCAGTTTCATATAAATTTTTAACTAAAATTAAAATTGTCAGGAAAGGTCCCATAATCGAACCTAATTGAAAGTGAACTCTTAAAATAATCTATTCATAAAGATTTGTCCAAATATTCATTATTTGATTGTTTTTAGTATATGATCTTTTTAGAAAAGAGGAAAGGAGAGTGGAAAAAACATAATAAAATAAATAAATCATTTACTTGTCGAGGTTAATCAAACAACACTTTTTAGGGATTTTTAGTTTTCGACCCTCTGGAAGGGTAGAGGGATCATAAAATAAAAAAATTAATAAAATGACCTATCTGTCAGTTCAAAAATATACTTTTTAGAGATCTTTAGTTTTCAATTAACTAGGATTAAGAAGTAGAAATGGTATCATTGATTCTCTCATCAAGAGCTATTTTTGATATAAATATAAAAACATCGGTTGCAGGGAGAGCACCTTATCTCAACCCCGGATATTTCGATTATATCACTAGAGAGATAATATTTATAAACATTAAATAAGTATTTCGCGAGAATATTAACAATAAATAATCAAAATATACATACAAAGAATTAAAATATCTAAAAAGAAATATATTTGTTTTTCTTTAGAATAAAATATATTAGAATAAATAAAAATGTAAAGAAATGAGTTGTATTTTTGTCTCTTTATAAACTACAAATTTGTTAAAAAAGAAATATCATTTTACGTATAAAAAGAAAAAAAAAGATCAAAAACACACACACACACATATATATATATATATATATATATATATATATATATATATATATATATATATACATCTTATCAATTTGTGGTTTACAAACATCATATTCACAAAAGCATTTTAAGCGCTTGCGCAAAATTTTAACATATTAGCATAAAAAAATCTATTAAAAGATTGACAAGCATGAAAGAATATATGTATCATTAGGGAACATCAAACTATGATAAATCTATTTCTTCTACGAATAACGTCAATACAACTTTTTGCTTATTTTTCATATTTTTTGAATATCGAAAAAATATAGATATAAAGATTCAATAATGATGATGTGCAAACAATTCATACAAATGGTATTTAAAAACGATATTTAATCAATATTGTTAAATAATGTAAAGTTTAATCAATTTTATTAAATAATGTAAAGCTCCTATTTTATTTGAATTTTTCTTATGAATTAATTTCAAGCGTAATCATTATGTTATAGCATGATAATAGCATCTAATAGCAAAAATAAAAAATTAAATGCAAAAATATTGTGCACAAATAAAAATATAAACATAAAAAAAGCGAAGCTTAATTGAAAAATGTAAAATTTATTTATAAGACTATTTTCTAATTTTATTTTATATGTTTAGTTATTCAAAATTTTATCTTTCAATTAAAATTTATATATATCTATTATACGAATTTATATATATCTATTATACGAGTTGTGTATGTGTGACAAAAAGTTCGTAGAAAATATTCGTAAAAATTATTTATTTTAATTTTCGTTTTATCAATGTTATCATCCTTGAAATAGTCATCCATCGTATCAACACACTTACTCCAGCGTTTCCATTGAGTGAAGTAGTGATGCAGCTCTTCCTTTGAGAGGATTTTTAAAATCCTTATCATTTCCCGTCTTTATGTTTCTTAACTGTTCCCCCCGTATGATATTTTTCACTTTTAGAAATAGAAAAAAGTTACATAGAGCGAAATCAGAGAAATAGGCTACGAAGATAGCCGATAACAGTATCATTGAACCGTGCAAGAAACTCGCGAACAAGAATCGATGAATATGTCGGCATGTTATAGTAGAGAATTCATCAATTTTCTTTCCATAATTCTGACCTCGACATACACATACAATTACATAAACAATCAAGAACACCAATATAGAATGCACACTTTTAGTGTACAATGTGGAGAGTCGACTCTCTCGAACATCGTCTTCCAGGTCTATTTGTTTTTGGAATCTTTTTATATTTGTAAACAGTAATTTCCTTCATGATTCTTTCTTCATTTTTAACATATCATTATTTCTGACTCATTTTTCTTGAATTTTATGAGAAATTTCATGTTAATATGTTATTCTTTTAAAAGATTGCGAGACATTTTTTCAAACTTTCGACGACAGATAGTAACACGTGTTTACTAAAAACGTCATTACATACACTGAACTATATATAAACTGAAATGTGTAGCGCCATGTTACATAAGAATAACGAGCTTGAGATAAGTAGATTTTCAGGGCTCGCTGTCTCACACGCATCTGCGCATGCACATTACTGAAAATTTTGAACAGTACAAGCAGGTCTAAAAGTGAAGTAATTCTTTCTCTAATACTTGTATTTATTACTTTGCCAAACAACAGTAAGAAGTTTTGAATTTGACTATACGAAATAAGACAGCTAGTCCTGAGCAGTTATTCTCGATCGGCTTGCAACAGGCTAATCAATGCACATTTCAGTTTATATATAGTTCAGTGATTACATACGAATTCATGATAAGACCGTAAAACTTAAACGGAACATAGGTTAGATTATTAGCTGTAAAGCTCTCTCGTAGAAATGACCAAAGTGTTGTCAATATGGAAGAAAAAATAATTTATGAACTTTTTGTCCACATCTTATACATAAATATTTTCTCATCCTATAATCCATCATAGAATTTATATAATTTTGTACAATTTAAATAATTTTTTATATAGAAATGTACTCACTTTTTGACATTTATTTTAAAATAAAAAAATTTATTTTTAATATTAAAAATTTATTTTTATCCCATATTATGTCTTTAAAAAATATGAAATACTATGATAAAGTGCTGAATAGAGGACCCTGATTTTGACCGTATACATATGTTGTTAAAGTCATGACTTTGAGTGACCAGATCAAAAGATTTTAGCTGTCGCTTGTTGTTTATTAAAAAGTTATAAAAAGGTTTATTAAAACACACGCTCTAAAAAGTTAACAAAAAAGTTTCACGAATTATGCAATTTTTAGATACCATGTATGTTTTATAAATCTCTACCAAATTTATTCATTTATGTATATAAGTGAAATAATGCGTGAGGGATGGGGGAGAGACCCTTTTTGCTTGCATCTCTAAAAAAAGTTTCCGTGTACAATACGAAAACACGATGCAATTTGGGTTATATAACGTAATCCAAATCAAGTTTTAATTATAAATTAGAAATAATAGGTTTGAATTCCCATACAGCTCACAAACTTGCAGTAATATTGCTACAATGTTGCATCATTGTCCATTGCAGTGTAATGCAGCAAAGATATTACAAAGATATTATTTTATAATATTACTTTAAGCAATGTTGTAGCAACATTTTAAATAAGTAAAAATATATAATACCCATACAGCACCGAAAGATTACATAAATGTTGAATAGACCTAGCATTAAAACATTATAATATTGCATAGAAGTTGCGAAGTATTTTTGTCATTACTGCAAGCTTGTAACGTTGAAATGTCCGCCCTTAAAAATATTACAATGTAAGATTACAGTAATGTTACGGTGCAATGTACATATTAGTAATATTAAAATGCGTTCTACTACATGTAGAACGCTTTAAATTTAATAAGTAAATCTTAAGACTATAAAAAGATATTTAAGAAAGATAGAAAAATGCCCTTAAAAAAACGTCTATTAGTGTTTTTTATTAAATGTTTTTTATTAAATATTTATCGAGATAACTAGACGTATTTTTCGAGATAAAAAAAAAAAAAAAAAATTAGACGTTTATTTAAGAATCTTCTAATTTTTTTAACAAAGAGGTCGGTTGCTACATAACGTTTGATATAATGATTGACATAACATTTTACAAATGCTAGAAAGATTCTTAAATAAACATCCAATTTAAAGGATATAAAAACATCTAATCAATTACATGTTATATATCAACCGACCTCTTTGATTAAAAAGTGATTCGTCTTTTCAACTAATGATTTCTTCCTGGATTGCATTTTGTAATTTCGTTATTATTATAATACAGAAAATCTACATATTAAATCCTATCTTTGGTTTTTATAGATTTATTTTTCTATTATTTTTTTATATAAGTTAAGGATAAGTTAAGGATATTATGCTAATATAAATATACGCAAAGTATTGTTGCATATATTATATTGTTGCAATATAGTTGTTACATTGTAATATTTCTGCAGGCGGACATTTTATTGTTGCTGCAATATCACAATAATGTAGTAGCAACATTTCGTAATGTTTCTGTAATGTTACAATCTTGCGAGAAAGAGAAAAATATTGCTGCAATCTTACTGTGCTGTCCCATGTAGCACAGAATATTACAGCAATATTGCTGCTTGTTCTGTACTGTACGGAGTTATTCAATCATTTCAATTTATTTTGAAGCGTAGAATTCTTTCTTGATTGTACCACAAATTTTGACTCATCTTATAAACATACATACATGCGCGTGCACATATATAGTATATACATATATGATATATACTATATATATGCATATGTAGCATGTATGTATATATGTTGTATCTATCTATGCATGTATGTATGTATGGACGTATATATACATGCATGCATGTATATATGTATGTGTGTATATATATATGGAAAACACAAAAATCAAAGTAATCTCAATTGACATCATATTCGCCAAAATTTATACCATTTGGTTAAATTGATGTCCATATGACGTCAAATGACATTACTTTGACTGTTCTGCTTGGATATATACATACATACATACATATATACACACATACATACATACATCTATACATACATCTATATATGCATGCATGCATACATACATACATATACATATATATTAGTCTTTCTTTTATAACAGAAAAATATATCCTTGCAGGATTCTTTTTCAAAGATTTGTAATGCAATATGATAAATGATTAATTTAGTATTTGCAACAATTTAATTGTAAATTTGACAACGTTTGTACGATCTCCAATATCTAAGTTTTCCAACTAAATTATGTAGCATTAGCGCAAATCGATATACTATGTAGAAAGCAACATCAAATATCTACTTGGGATGTCTTAGCATCACGAATTTTGGAAAGCTTGGTCCTGTCTCTCGCTCTCTCTTTCTCTCTCTCTTTCTCTCTCTCTCTCTCTCTCTCTCTCTTTCTCTCTCTCTCTCTCTCTCTCTCTCTCTCTCACTATACTTCTTCGATTTGTTTTACAGATACGCATTACACTCGTGTCAAAGAGATAGATGTGATTTTTACCTTGCTCTTCAAATCTGCGCTGACATAGTGAGCACTTAAAGTTTCCAAAATCATCCAACTCGTCCTCATCGACCATAATTTGTCCGTCAGCTGCAACAAAATACCCCACGATCTTTCTTTCCTATCTTTTTTATTTTTTCTTCCGCATTTTTCTACGGATTTCTCTCAAAGAGAGACAAATTTTCGCAGAGCTAAGAGATAATATTTTATCCATTATATATAATATCTTTTATATTCGATTTAGTCAAGAGTCAAGAGTTTATGTTTTTCCCTCAAAGTATATTTTGCATATTTAAAAGCTAATTGTTTTATTTTAAATTATCATTTTGTACTTTAACAAATTCAATAATTTTTAACCATAACGAACAATAATGTATATATAAAAATAAATAATTGTAAAGTGAATTATGTTAGTTTGGAAGAAATGTGTGTGTATTTGAGCGTGTGTGTGTGTGTGTATTATTTTTTATGATATATTCATGTAGCTTACCTGAAGAGCTTTCTAAAATACTATAAGCATTAAGCATTTTTTTTATTATGTAACTTTCGAATGTTATAAGGCTTGAAAGTTACAGTACCATCGGCAATAGCATTGGCTGCATTCAGCAGAAAAAGCTGTTTTGTAACTGTTGTAAAATTCGTAAGCCTGATTGGTGTATGATCTTAATTTTGAGTTACTGAATTTAAGAGCAGACACCAATTAAATTCACGAATTTTACAACAGTTGCAAAGCAGCTTTTCCTGCTGAACGCAGCCATTATCTGCGTGAAGGCAAGATCCTGCTGGATCAATATGATTTTGCAACATGGACTGATCCAGTCAACTAAGGCAAGATCGGGCATAGTTCAGCCAACTAAGGCAAGACCAGACATGGTCCAGCTATCTAAGACGAGATTAGAAGTGATCCAGCTAACTGAGGCAAGACTTAAATTCCTATTGCTCGAAATAGGAAAAAGATTGTATCGTTGAAATTGTGATTAATCAGATTCGAGAATATATCTTTGAAAAGTAAAAGGGAGCAAAGTAAAAAACACTGTAGATTTGGAAGTTTGTATAAAAAATTTAATACGTAAAATATTCTCATTCTCTTATCTCTGTTGAAACACACATACACACACACGCGCGCGCGCACGCGCACACACAAATGCATGCACGCATGCACGCACGCATGTACTCACGTACATAACATAGGTACATACGTACACACATACAATAAAGATGTAAATCCAACCGGCGAACTTCACGTGGTACACCTTAGGCAATTCTAGCGCCAACAGTACTGTAATTTTTTTTATAACTTTAAAATTATGTAACAAAAAAATAATTATAAATACGTAATTGTTTTAAAAAACTAGTAAATAAAAAAAATATATGGTAATTATTTACATTAACGGTCACTGATGACCTTGACCTTTATGTTATAGAGATAAAGTTGTTAATTAATTTTTCTCTGTGTTTTATTTGGCGATCTCTTATAGTTTTTGAGATATTTAATGGAAAAGGTTTAGTATGTGTGTGTGTATGTGTGTGTGATTAAAATGTAAGTTTCACGATATACATTTATTACACAAACTACATATATCAGATATTTGTTTACAATATATTTCAAATGTTTCCCGCTACGGGAGGACTCCACTTCCAGAAGATATAACCTAACTCAAACCTATTTTTGATTTACAATTAAAATTTGGTTCGGATTATATTATATATCTCAAATTGTATTGTGATTTTATACAAAATGAAAATCTTTTTTGGGATAGGATGCAAGGGAAGGGATACTGATGACGCCTCTTTTAATATACAAACAGCTCATACAGTTTGTGTATCAAATGTATATAGTGTCAAAAAATTACGTTTTACACATTAAACTTTTTTTGTTAAATATCTCAAAAAGAGACTGCCAAATAAAACACAGAAGAAAATTAATTAGTAACCTCACCCCTACACATGTAAAGGTCAATGTCATCGGCGAGGTATCTGTTAATGTAATTATCGAATATATAATCTGTAATTAACATTTACATATTTTTTCTTGACAACTATGTTCTTTTTACACCAATTGAATCCTTTCATTATTTTATTTTATTTTTATAGAAGTAGAGATGTAAGATCATCAAAAAATTAATATTTTACGAGATATTTTATAATTCAATGTAAAATTAAGAAATTATTTCAAATCTTATAACTCGAAAAGTATTTAATAAAAAAATATCTTACAGTGTTTTAGAAAGCTCTCGAGGTAAGCTACAAGAGTATGTAATGGAAAAATAGGAGATTCTATTTAAACAAAATTAACCTTCATATAATTTTGATATATTCACTCAAAATTAAACCAATGGTAGCAAATTATGTCTCCCTCAAAATAATAAAATTTTTGTCTGAAATGTTTTTGCTTTAAAAGCTATGAGATATTCTAATGTATTACTTATAATGGCCCACCCTATATATATATATATATATACACCGTGGTCCATTTTAATCGACGCACCTGAATATCTCCGTTGGTAAGCCGAATACAAAAAAATTGTTCAGACAAAAGTTGTATGGTTTTAAGGGGGACATAAGATGGTGTCATTAGTTTGATCTTGAAGAGCCACCTGAAGATTACGTGAAGGTCAGCTCCAACTTTTTAAATGGGACATCCTATATGCTTTCGCATATTCTTGTAGCTCATCTGAAGAGCTTTTCAAAACACTATAATTAAGTTAGTTTTCATTAAATACTTTCCAAGTTATGAGGCTTGAAATCATTTTTTAATTTTACATAAACCGTAAAATATCTTGTAAAATATTCATTTTTCGATTATTTTACCTTAATACTTTTATGTACAAAATAATGAGAAGAATCAATTGGTGTAAAGAAAACACATAATTGTTTCAAACAAAAAAATGTAATTTGCAATTAACAATTACATTTTTTTGTTCGAAACAATTATGTGTTTTCTTTACATCAATTGATTCTTCTCATTATTTTGTACATAAAAGTATTAAGGTAAAATAATCGAAAAATGAATATTTTACAAGATATTTTACGGTTTATGTAAAATTAAAAAATGATTTCAAGCCTCATAACTTGGAAAGTATTTAATGAAAACTAACTTAATTATAGTGTTTTGAAAAGCTCTTCAGATGAGCTACAAGAATATGCGAAAGCATATAGGATGTCCCATTTAAAAAGTTGGAGCTGACCTTCACGTGACCTTCAGGTGGCTCTTCAAGATCAAACTAATGACACCATCTTATGTCCCCCTTGAAACCATACAACTTTTGTCTGAACAATTTTTTTGTATTCGACTTACCAACGGAGATATTCAGGTGCGTCGATTAAAATGGGCCACGGTGTATACATATATATACAGGCTGTCCCGAATTTAAATGTCATAACTTCGGGAGCGTGTAGGGGATCGATAAACTAAAAGAAAAAGTGGTATAGAGATATGCTCGTTTTGGAGAAAATCGCAAAAAACATAAAACGTAGTTTTTATTTCTGTACTTATTTATTACTTTTTAATTCATATTTATTTGTTCGCGTTGTCACTTGCCTAATGTAAATATTGTTCAAAATGTTGCCCTCCTGCAGCAATGCAAGCATTGCATCAGGATTAGATCGCATCTAGTACGGACAGCTCGTGTTGCAGCCAAACACTGATCTGGTATGTGGTGTACTGCAGCCACGATTCGGTCTTGTAATTGCCCTCTTGAGTTGATTGACAACGAATAAACTTCCTGCTTCAGGAGACCCCATGCAAAAAAGTCCAGTGGTATCAGATCAGGCGATCGGGGTGGCCAAGATACTACTCCTCTACGTCCAATCCATCTTCGTGGATAATGGTTGTCTAACCAAGCTCGAGTAGCTCTGCCATAATGAGCTGGACACCCATCGAGCTGGAACCACATTTCGATCCGTTGCTGCAGGTTGATATCTTCTAAATAATTAAGCAACTCGTTCTCCAAAAAGTCTGTATATCTGGCTGCATTTAATCTGTCGGGTAAAAAAAATGGTCCCACTACAGACTCGTTCAAAATTCCGAGCCAAACGTTAACAGCAAATTCATGCTGGAACCTATTCCCTAACAGCCCGTGGATTTTCATCAGCCCATATATGACAATTTCTTTGATTCATAATTCTTTTTAAAAAAAAGCTTTTACCAAAAAATGGAATATTATTGTTTCCGTGTACGATTTCAATGAATGCCAGAACGATGAGTCATTGCTGCAAGAGGGTAACATTTTGAACATATTTACATTAGGCAAGTGACAACGCGAACAAATAAATATGAATTAAAAAGTAATAAATAAGTACAGAAATAAAAACTACGTTTTATGTTTTTTGCGATTTTCTCCAAAACGAAGCAAAAACGAGCATATCTCTATACCACTTTTTCTTTTAGTTTATCGATCCCCTACACGCTCCCGAAGTTATGACATTTAAATTCGGGACACCCTGTATATATATATATATATATATATATATATATATATATATATATAGCTGTACAACATATCTTGTGTGTGTGTGTGTATGTATAAACAAGATATGTTTTACAACTCAAATTTGAAAGCTTTTCGCCGTATTAAAAAGACAACCAAGATCTAAAGTTATTAGCTTGTCAATAAATTTAATATACACATATAAGTCCTAATTGTCCTAATATACACATATAATTCCTATGTTAGCAAAAGCTATCGATAATAAGTAAAACTTTTTCATATTACAACTAAACGCAATTCTATTTTTATCGCACGGTAGCAAAATGACGTGCAATGAGCTTGGCATATTTTTCGAATTTTTTCGTACGCACGCGATATCATAATGATAAACAGATCGATTAGTGCGAAAGACAAAAAGAAAACATCCTTCAAGAATGCTTCGATAAATGATCATTATAAGAAGAAAAACCTCACCCTAAAAACAAATCATAGCGGGCTCAATTGAAAAGCGAGACAGGATCCAAGATTGCCAATATGCATTTCTAGGATAATCTAGGAAATCTATTTATATATATATACATATATATATATATATATACACTCGCCGAAATACAAATACTACGATATTAACTAACAAACGGGAAAAGAAACACAATATAG